AAAAGGAAGGAGTGGCCTATCCAACGCCGAGACCACACTGCAATGGTTTACCATAAGTGACCGCGTTAATTCCCGTCTCTTATTAAACAAAAAAAAAATTTTATTTGGTTAGCTTAATATAATATTATTGTAATACGCGTATGTACGCAAGTTGCGCGGGTGCGTAAATGATTAGTTTTCATAACATTTGGATTTCAACAACGAGTTTTGGGAAACAAGGTTACGTGACTCGAATATATATTTAATTTAAATATTTTATACAACAACCAACGGAGTTTATTTATAAGTAGGTACTTTCACTTATTTACATGTTGATATCTTTTAGGTGATTACTATATATACCGTTATTAATTCATAAAATAGATCCCATTAAAAGAAAAATATTTAAATACTTATTTCCACCATTTGAAGTGTTACATGGATTTTCTTGTAATACAACTTTTATTATTCTATAATGAGAGACTTTTTAAGTAAATTCAAAAAGGTCCTATGTGTTCTTACGAGTACTCTGGATTGCTGGATATTGCTGGATCTTCCTACAAGTATATAATTCTGTCTTCTATGTAAAGTTCGTCTTATGCATAAATACATACATTTAGATTAAAGGGTGTTTGTGATAAAAATATTTTTTCTTTAACTGTATTTTTGTAGATTCGAAAACTGTTGATATTATAATAGTATTTATTGTCTATCCAGTGTTATAATACAGCAAGGACTTAATGTATGTTGCTTCCTATTTCGTAGCACTTGATTCGTAGCATCTGCAAAGTCCAGGCGCGCCATCTATTACAGTGGTTGTGAAACACGTATATTGTTGAAATAGAAAATATCTTTTACGGGATGTTTGCTTCCAGAAAGCCTTCAGCGACATCTATTCAAGTGACTTTACTTTTGTTAGTGACATCGTAGACAGAGTTTCACACTGTAGAAAATGTGTTTTCGTGATCAAAATAAATCCTAGAGGGCATTATGTGTTTACAATTATGAATGAAATCACATGACTTCGTGATATTGACCTTAGTATCTACTATTTAATTTAATGTTAATTTGGTGATATATAACAATTTGCGACTAACAAACTTATTTATAAACTCAATAGGCAATATAATAGACAGCTTTTGTACTAAACATTGTTTTCTACTAGTCGTCAAATTTTTATTACTGATACTTCTTTATTGTATTAATAATAGAGTATAATGATGTTTCTAGGTTATTAGAAATTTAAATTTACAGTGTTAGTACTTGCAACTATGTATTTATTACGCCCTATTAATATGTCATATATGTAGAAATATACAAGTCTCTACATTATTAAAATTAAAATAGGTAAGAAAAAAAATCACATTTATTGTTGAAGTTTACTGGCAGATTTACAATTTAAATCTAATACAATTGATACTTGTATATATTTAAATTATTTCAATAATAACTTACACTTTTTAAATGTGTCCGTAACATTAGCTTGACGAAGTGTGGTAATGTTTCAATTATCTGTCAATTAAAATAAAAAAAAATGTAATAATTTTCAATGTTTCTGATTGATTATTTAAAAAGTATTCTGATATCAAATTAAAGCGTTAACAATACCTGAAAATTTGGATTTTGATGGTTGAAAGTGAAGTAAGTTGGTGCAAATTTTCTTGTGGTAGAATTATATACAACATATTTGACGTTTTAGTTTGCTGTCAGGACATTTTTTAAATAATCTATCAAAAACATTGAAAATTATTAAGTTGTTTTTTAAAATCGAAAAATGTTTAATTGGTTTTTATTTATTTGACAGATAATTACGACGTGGTTATACGTACACTCTTAACAACCACACAGAGATTGTAAAATATGAAATAAAAAAATATATGGAATAAATAAAAAAAAAAGAGAAAAAAAATTATTAATATATAGATATTAATTTATTATTTATATCAGATATAATTTATGTACCTACTTAATGTAGATTTAATGGATTAGCTTAACGTTGACAGAATAATATGTATTATAAGATAATTAAATTGTTGACATAAATGGTAAAAGTCTGTGTATTTTAGGGATATTTGATTTATTTAATTTTTAATACTAAATATTAATGGAAATTAATATTTAATTATGTTAATAGTCATTATTGTAATTACTTGGTGGTATCTATATATATTTATATTATTAAAAACACTGTCATATAATATTTAATTGTTTCTGATGTGAAGGTACTTACTCATGGAATTAGGAAATAACGTAATAAAATATTTAACCACACAAATATAAAAGTTTATAGTCCGTATAGAAATTTTATGTTGAATACGTTATTTATTTTGTATTTTATTATATAGAAACAAATATTTGTACGAGCTGAGAGTGTAGTGCAAAAGGAAATGAATAAATCCTTTGTGGTTGCGCTATGCAATCTATTATACTCCTACATAAGGTATATACTTAGGATATATCTAAATAATAATGGCTGACTGTTGTTCTGGACCTGCGCAGTGACCTAGGCCGTGAATGCAGTTACTAACTTAACTATGTGATATAAAGAGATATTAAGCTTTTCTGTAACATTTTCAATCTCGTAACAATTATTGACCCTTCTCAGCAGGCACTGATTTTCGAAATGAGCGATAGAATCAGAAATATAATTCAGAAGTGCTTGATATTAAGTTGATTTGAACGAAGGTTATTTATGGGGTTTACGTCATGCTGTCATCATAATCGTTTGACCTTGAATATCAATTTAATATGTCTTTACCTCTATTTAAAGGGCAACGTTTTCTTTAAATAGAGGACACAATTTATAAAGAAAGCCCTACCTGTATATATATGTATATATATATATTATTGCCTATCAGCCGTTGACTGTCCATTGTTAAACATAGACCACACCCATAAGGGGGAGTTTTGTCAGTAGTTACCACGCTTGACAGATGGATTGGTGATTATTATATTGATAATTGATAATTACAGTTAGGCTTTTGGTGATGTTTTACAAAGGAAGCTGCTGCCCATTCCTCGATCATTAAATTCCCTTAGTCGGCTCTTGTGATACTGATGGGAAAAGAAGAGATGGCCCATTCTATATCGAGATCACATAGCAATATTTATTTATTATAGTATTACATTAGATACAAAAAAAAAATAAGGATTTAATTAAATAATTTTCATAAGCAATCTTTTACAGAAAACGTTCGGATATAGGACAATGAAAAAGAAAAAAGGAATTTGACTCAATATATGATATTTATGGTAAATGTATATTTATGAAGTAATACCTGAAACTGATGAAAACTTTTATACGTCGAATATAGATTAAGAATTATTTATCAGCATACCATATAATGGACCATATCTGAATGTTTATGTCAGTTTTTTATTTACTATTAAAAGTCGAATATAACATGTTTAAGTTTTATCTGAATAACGGTCAACATCTATAGCTAAAAAACATTAAAGATATAAAATATCCAAGTAGAGTTAGATAGTATTTTATCTTATCTTTTATTATGGGGTCAGCTAAGCCGTTGCACGTCGACCCATTGGGATCTTTTGTGCTTCCCCCTGCCGTATACTATCATTTTATTGATCCCATATGTTACCTTTGCGATATCCTGCGTTTTTGACATCTATAATCCAATAAGGCTCTGGATAAACTGTCCTCAGTAGACTCATACACATACTTGCCAAGGAATCACTATTACACATCAGGTGATCCATGGATTCCGATTCCTCTCTGCACAATCTGCGCAGTGTTTTTGAAGACAGACCTATCTTGTATAGTATATGCCTAACTACTAATGCACAGTTAAGAGCGCCCATTATGAGATTTGCCTGTTGTCTGCAACCTATATAGATGAGTTTAGCTTATCCCTTAGCCTTGTCGTTTAGTTTAGGTAGTTTAGAGTTAGGTAGTTAATTTAAATTGTATTAAATTTAAGCAAACCAGTAACTACAAGTATCTATCATTCATATACTTATGAACAATGGCTGTCTACTTTTAAAAGGGGTTTAATAGTTAAGTCGTATTTTAGAGAGTCTATGATAATGACGTACCAAGCTGCCCAGAACAAAAGTCACAAATTTCTAAAGACAAGTTCTAGACTGTTTTATTGCGTTTGTTTAATTTAATTAATTTTTCTGCCGATAGACCATTTACCGTCTTGAAATTCACTTAACCCTGTAACTGTCTATGTTTTAGGTTTGAATGTTGAGCACTGGCTAGTACATATACAAAGAGATATAATGTTAGTTCTCAGCAATGGCAGTAGTAGGGGGAATATACAGAGAGATCCACGTGGTTCCCCCTGGAAACCATGATGTTAGTTCTTATCCTCATCAATCATCTATCACTGGTGCCTCGCCGGTGTATACCAATAGCGCAGGCGGAGTTACCATACCATTATCACCCATAAAAAAATGGCAGTAGTAATACAAGAGAAGCACGATGAGCGTTAAGGTATATTCTATGATATTTATTGGGCTGTTTATATCTATAGACGAGAGTTACCATTACGTGGACTCTAACTTTGTTCAATTGTTTTAAAATGTAAAAAAGCAAATCAACCCCAGAAAGTACTAATATGGTACTCTGATTAATCGTTATGTTCAACCATATTCTAGAGAGTTCAATAATAAAAGTATTAGCCTTTTTTCATTACTGACCAACAAAACAAGTGCAATATTTTTAGGATTCATATATGTGAGTTTCTAAATGCTTAAACAAATTAAGATATATGGTTCAAATCGTTATAAACATCATCCCCAGTAACAGTGGCTATATATACAATATATTTTTTTAAACAATTCGTTTTTATTAGAACAATCATGTTTTTTAATTTTTGGAGTAAAATGTACTTGTTTTTACACATTCAGCCTTCTAAATGGAAGCCGCGTTTAAATTAACAAATTTATCTACCGATAGGGTATTTACTGTATCTAAATCCGCCCAACCCTGCAACCGGCGCGGCGGAGTAGCGACAGGGGCGCGAGGGTCGCCACGCGATCACTTTGCAGCGACTGGCGGGCGGGATGCACGTCACTCGACTTCGTCCGTCCGCCCGCACCACCCACCCATCCGCTTATACTATAACCTCGTTAGTCTAAGTGACGTAAAGCATTCGCGACTAGCCGTGTATAGTGAACACGTAGACGCCACCAAGTGTTGCGGAACTCATCGGACCCACGGATTGTACAGTGATCACACAAATAAAATATAACCTTGCCAGCTGCATTTATTATTCAGTGACTGCGCTAACCTATAGCCAGGATGGCGCCCTTTACAGGTATGATTCTCGAAGTTGTTGCTTTAAGTTTCAATGCCGGATTTTATTTTATTTTATGTTCTCATTTTCCATCTGTGCAGACCAATTACTAAATAGATACTTTAACTAAAATACACAGTCTGCACAGATGACAGATAATATAGAGTTAGTCGTACACACAGCTAAAAGTCAATCATAGTATTAATGAAACTGAACGAGTTCCACAATAAAGATTAGGTAGTATATATTTCAAAATATTTTTTAATCATTCGTATTTATAGTGTCTATATGGATCACGTGATTACATGGTATCTATGAAAAATTCAAATATTGTTTTATAGTCTCAATTATGTTCTTTAGGAAATGTTCTTCAGTTTCATGACAATTCATGACAAAAAATATCAATGGATTTCTACTTTGTTATATCCCTTCTAATTAATCCTGCCTTTATAATAATTAATTTTGTAAATTTGAGCTTAACGAATAACTACTACAATTATCTTGTTTCAATGGGCCAGTTCCACTTGTCTTTACCGACGTTTCCGCACTGTAGTACCTTAATTTCATACTTTAAATAAGGTACGGACGGCACATATATACTACTTAAGGTTTTTATTGAATTTAGCATCTATTGTCATAACTTGTTGAGGAAACATGGCTATTTTTTTATGTAACATCGGATGGCAAATAAGCTGAGGGCCAACCTGATAAAAAGTGATAACCGTCGCCTATCGACATGAAGAGAACCATGGATATAACAGAGTATATTGTGTATATTTCTCTATTTTAATAACCTACTTGGTGCTTAAATAACTGTTCGCTTGTTATGCTTTGAAAAATACACTAAAATGTATAAAGTATTTATCAGTTTTAGTCTTTAACACAAATATTATTTAAACAGAGGGAGACTGTATAACAGTCGTTTACTTAGGTACTTCTTTGCCACTCGTGTTTCAACCGAAATGGCAATAAATGGGGGGTATCATGGGCGAAACAGTATACCCTGTTTTATCCATGGTACTGCTTATGACTATAGGTAACGGTTACCACTTTCCATCATTCTAAGTTGCATAAAAAAACAAACAGGCGCGGGCGACTTCATTTCAAATAGGTATACTTAAAGTATAAAGTAACCACATTAGTGTTTCGTACTAGAATGGTAAAACGAATCATGTTTGCAATTTATTTAATTGGTACTTTTCTACCAGGATTCGCAAAAGGGTTCCAATAAGATTTAATTTGACAGTGAGTTTATTTTAACAGATCTGTAATTTGATATACATATTAGCAAGAATTGAAAGCTCATTTCTAAAACGACTTCAAATATATTATCAATTTGTCAATATTTTTGCTAATTCTGAATCAATTTTGCTTTTTTAATCAAAATAGTTTTCTCTCATACTGGTGTTATATAAATTATATTAATTTTATTTTGTGGAACAAAATTTTATATTAATTAAATTTTTTTAGGAAGCTGTCAAAAAAAAACCTTGTAATAGGTTCTAAAATATTTAGACAATAAATATATAAATGTTATGCTTTCTACTTAGTCCTCTGTAATATTAAATGAAACGATCAGAAATCAGAGTCACAAACATATTTACAAAGAAACTAGTGTTAAAACCCTTAAAATAATAGATTTAAATAAATTTATAGTAAATATTTTTTGTTACTGTAATTATTATTACTACATTTTCTAATATTTAAAAAAACGAACCAATGCATTGCATACAATTATAATACCTTCCTGTAAGATATTCGGCCTCATTTTCTATTCAGTTCTTTAAGCAAAACTAAGTTTAAAAGGAATGTAGTCTATTTTCAACGATTCATAACAGATATTTTACTTACTCAAATTTATATATAACCCGGATAAAACTAGATTTTATTATTTAGCTAAAAAACAAAAATGTAAAATGAAACTAAGACCAGTAAAACCAAGCTTTAGTAGTAAAATTATTGCAACAATGTACGTAGCGTTCTTATTTCGTGCTTTACTTAGAGTACTGCGTACTTCGTGATACAAAAATAACTTCGTAGAATCAACTGTAAGTCTAGGTAAGAGAAACATGTAGATGTTTTTTACTGGCTTTCTAAGAATGGAAACAAGTGTGTTCTGCATTTTGTACACGGTATTTTTTTTTTACAAATGGATAATAAATACGAAATTTTCTATTCATATTATATTAAAAAAACATCTATTAAATATCGTCGACATGAAATTCGATTATTTATTTAAGGCAAACATTCAGCTTTAACAATACATATGACAATTACGTAATTAAGTCAGCCACTAAAGTTTGTACAGATAGGTATATGGTATAATTCAAACCATATTTATTCAAATAGACTTGTTAACAAGTACTTTTAAATCGATATTTTTTATGAATATAATGCCGGTATTTAATATATAAGGAAATACACAAAAAGAAACAATAATATTATAAATTACAGCTAACATACCGAAGTCAGAAGAACGAAGTTATAATTAATTTAACTAATCATTTTAAAAAATAAAATATAACTGTTAAAATTACAGCAAAATTTAATTTATTTACCTCTGTAATTTATGTACCTCTGTCCCATTCGTGTTTCAACCGAGAAGCAGTTGTGTTTGCATGGTTGTGTTTCGGTTTGAAGGGTGGGATATGGCGTGAATTTACAGGGTACAGAGGAATAACACCTGAGTCTTCAGGAATGGCAACGCATGGGGGGTATCATGGGCGAAACAGTATACTCTGTTATGTCTATGGTATTGCTCATGTCTATAGGCGATGGTTACCACTTTCCATCAGGTGGGCCGTCAGCTTGTTTGCCATTCTAAGTTGTATAAAAAAATATATTTAGTTAGCAACAATGGTTGTTACGCATATTACAGGCTCTGACTTATCCTATAGGAGTCTGAATACAAAAAGTTTACCTATGTTATAGGTAATTCATGTTATATAAAATGCACTAACATGCAACTTACTACATAACATCCAGACTTACGGTAATTCAGACATCTGGAGATCTAGGTAACTCTATATAATTTCTACTAATATGCTAAGGAACACTACCAATTGGAGAATCTTACATCTACTTACATTACTCGAAGCATATTTTAGATAATAAAAACTAAATAATATGCCTCAACATCTGTGGATATATGTTAATCGTGTTTAAATATAGTTTTTATTGTATGACAATAACCTATTTTTTTATGCAACTTACAATGGCATCATTCATTCATTCATTCATTCATTCATTAGGGTTTGCTGTATATCCATCAATCAGTTATGGACTTTTTACTTCTGAACTAAATGAGATAAAGAAATAATAAGTGTACTGTAGGTACTTAGATTATTAGGATGGTATTCATAAGCTACTGCAACCGCTTATCATCAGGTGGGCCGTATGCTTGTTTATTAATGTCAAAAAAACAACTTTTTGTATCTACGTGTGTAGGATATAAAATGTAGAAACCATTCGAGTACATATTTAATATATTTTCATTTGTTTATTTATCACTTGAAACATGAGATACAAGATATTATAAATAAAATTTATTTTAATCGACTTCAAAAATGGAGGAGGTTTATGTTCGAATGTATGTTTAATATTTATTATATTTCACATGAAATAAAATTTTAATAAGCATCTTAAATTTCTAAAATAAAACATCAAGTTCCTGGTTTTTATATAATACATTCATTCGTCATACTGAATGAAGCAAGAAACAAGAATAAATAATAATTTGTAAAAAATTCGATTGACCGCGAATTCCTAACACCACTAAAGTACCAAAAATTATGTTTATTATATTTCGTTATTAGTTTCATTTACCTCTAAAGGAAGCAAAATTTTGATTACATCATCTAGTTTGCAGATTGTCTTGTGGATATCTCACGTTGCGCGGGTGCTCAACGTTAGGCAACGAAACTTAATGCAAAACTCGAGATGAACATATCCAATGTCTTTACTGACCTTTACTAAAATATAGTTTCTTACAAAATTACTACTACTACTAAGGTACTGTGAAATTTGATGTTAAATTGAACTGGTTCTAGTTTCTTTATGCTGCAAATAATGACAAAGAAGATTGCCTTATTATCTAATATCCTAACATTAAAAGCAAAATTGTCAGTTAACACTTGTATCTACCACATAATATAATATCGCGTTACATAATTAATACTTTTTGTCTTATTGAAGCAAAGGATGATTTGGCAATCTTCTTATCAGTAGATAGTTGATGCATATGGTATGCATGCCCAACGAGTGTTTTCAAAATTCTGTTCCATAGGGAACTGAAAAAAATAAAGTGTATCATAAGTTGTTACAATAACTGAAAAATTTCAATTTATATCGAAATGTCATATATTTAAGAAATAAATTTAACGTGCAACATTCGAGTACTTAACATCTCAAGTATTTTTTTTAATGGATGATAATGGAATGATAACCCCGCCTGCGCTATCGGTATACACTGGCGGAGCACCAGTGAGGGATGATAGGTGAGAATGAAGCAGGTCAGTTAGCCCACCATGATGAATGTAACAATAAATCAATCACGATGGTTTCCAGGGGGAACCACGAGGAGGTCGACCTGACAGGATATATTACTAGCAATGGAGCTGCTAATCCCTATTACTAACAATCTCTTCTCCTCCCAACTCAAGTATTAGGTATATTGCTAGCTCCTATTTTAAGATTTCAGTAATTGAGATTTAAGACAACATTAAGTTATACTGATGCGGTAATATTTTATTTTTATTTCAGTTCATATCTATAAAAATAAATATAAAAATATATTATAAAAATATTAATAACTATATTCCTACAAGTTTTCAGAATCATAAGACTGTTTATAAATGAACTAAGTAACTTATTTATGAACCATTATGTGTGTAGCATTCTTGTAAGTAGTATAGTGACCTGTTCACTGTCCACTGCTGAACATAGGCCTCCCCCCTATTGAGGGTCTTTGCCAGTAGTTGCCTTACTTGACAGGCAGTTTGGCAAACGCAGTTAGGCTTTGG